TCTCTTCTCTTCTCTCTTCTCTTCTCTCTTCTCTTCTCTCTTCTCTCTTCTCTTCTCTCTTCTCTTCTCTTTTCTCTGTTCAGCTTCTAAAAAAGAAGCAGACATGAGAAGTGACCAAAGAGAGACGAGCAGGAAAGACAAGATGACAGAGATGAGAGGACAAGCAAAGGCACCGAAAAGAGAGCTTGCGCCCCCCGGTTCTCGGCGGTCTCAAAAGCTTTCGCTCCGAGGACCGGTTTGGACGGCATCATGAACTACTTGCAATTGTGGAACATCGTTTTCTGGGCGGCAAGAAGCTATTAGAAACAAGTGCATCGCTTCTAGTAACAAGTGCCTTACTAGTAGTAACAAGAAGCTATTAGTTAATTTAATTCTAATAGGGTGGAGGCCATCGCTCTTCTGAGACCGTCTGATCGTCCGGGAGTCGTCTCAGGAGTTTCTCTGACCAAAACGTCCCTTTCAAAGGGGGGTTCCATGGGGTTAGTAACGGAGCACGAAACTGGGCGTCTCTTTGAGCGGGGCCAACGGCGAAAAGTGTGGGTCGATCAGAGCAGGTTGATTGGTTGACTATCAGCTGGGGAATTGTTTGCTGCTCGGCATGGAGAAATCTTGGGGAGGACATCAAGAGGACTCTTGGATGCCTCGGATCTATTTGTTCGAGACCGGAACAAAAAATGACCATGAAATACAACATATACAACAGCGTCCAGTCAGTTAGGGCGCGACCGCGAAAATGCCGCAACAGAGAGAGAGAGAGAGAGAGAGAAAAAGAGAGCGAGAGAGAGAGAGAGAGAGAGTGAGTTACTAGCTTTTTGTAGCCTATAGTAGTAATGGCCTCCTACCTAATACGTAGCGATGGCCTCCACCTAATGTAGACTCTTGATTAATACACCCCCATATGAAGAGGATGTTCAATTCATATGGCTGGGGTTATTAATCAAGAGTCTACATAGCAGCTTCTTGTTACTTTAGAGAGAGCGAGAGACATTGGGTGGACGGTTTCAGCAGCTGCTTCGCCGGTTGAAACGGGACAGACGAAGCCCTTCTCGGCGGGGGGATGGGGGTGGGATGGGTGTCTTAGGGTTCGATGGTTCGTTCGGTTCGAAAGAGGAGAAAGGATATGAAAGGAATTGAACGGATCATGTTCGACTTATTTTTCAGTTTGATTTCGAGTTCTCAGGTGCACTGCTTTGGTTGATTGCCCTTCTGCAGCTGGATGGCTTGCAGCCGGCCATCGAGGAATTGCCTTTGCCCGTGTTCGATGCCATTGAGCCTTGGCGAAGCGAAACTGGAGCCCCAAAACAGCGAACTTCTGTGACTGGACGAAGATGAACTATACTCCCACCTGCTATACGATTCCATCCACCGGTCCACTGCACTCTCGGAAGAACAACGAAACCAGAGCCAGTTCACGCGAGTTCACGCGAGACCACGACGTGACCGGGCCGGAAGACCCTACGGTGCGAAAAGCCGGTCGAAGCCGGTCGAAGCCGCTCAGATTGAGACGGTGAACATCATCAATAAGACCTATCTCGCTCCTCAGCAGGCGATGCGAGAGAGAGAAAAGAAAAGAGAGAGATCGGTCAGATCGATATCTCTTGTCCCTTCTTCGGTCCGACTGAGAGACAGAGAGGTCGGGTGGAGATCGAGCCGTCGTGCCTCGAGATCGGTGCCTCGAGCTCGTGCGCCTGTCGGCCTGGCGCAGTTGAACGCGGTGATGACGCACGAAGATTACTATGGCCGCCTTGCCCGGGTCTTTGATGCCTTTCAGGACCGGAGAGCAAGTGAGTCTCGAGTCGTCCGGACGTCCGATCGACATGAACCATCGGGGACCTCGCCGATTTGGGGGCACTGCCCACTCACGGTGCCTAACTGGGCCGGAAGAAAACCGAACTCCCTTATAGTGTTGTCAATGACGGTCACTTTTCAAGTCGTTTCTGTGACTTCGACGAACGGTCCGACAGGATGTCCTTGGGTCCGACAGGTCGGTCTCCGTCGGATGAAGATCCAGTCGATCGCTCTGAAGAGGCTGTCTCCATTTGGAATGAGTCTGTCCGCCTCGTGTGGATCCCCAGAGTCGACGACGGGTCGTCTTCGACGCTGCTTCAAAGCGGGAAGACGGACGGGGAAGACGGGAAGACGGCTTGTGAGTTCCACCCGGAGCCCAGTTGGCCATGTCAGTATCTACCACCCCTCAGGAGTTGGGTGGTTAATGGACACCCCGAATCACAGCTATAAGGGGCTATAGACGCCCCTTGGAGGGTCCTGGTAGTAGTCCATTTTGTTCATGTTCGAAAAAAAAAACACAGGCTCCCTGGCTCTGCCATGACCCAGGGATACCAGGAATACCCAGGCCCCCCCCCGTTAGAAACTCCTTGGTGACGTCGCGAACATCTCGCACGTCACGAAGGTCGCTGTGTTGTATTTATTCATTTTGATGCTGAAGTTCTTCAAGCAGCTTGGACGCAGCCCATTTTGTCTGACTGTATGGTTGGTAGATCTTTTTTCTTCCGGACGTCGGAGTTTGTAGACCGCTGGTACAGCTACGAGACGAAACCGGACGTCTTTTTTTCCAACCGAGGTCTTTCAAAGCCAACAAGCGTCTCAACGTGGTCATCAACACCTTGACGCATTCTGTCAAAGACGTCTCACACTTTGCCATCGTCTTCGCCACCATCTTCCTGTGTACCTTGGCGAGATCCGGCGCTTGAGATCCGGCACTATATTATCATTACTATATAACTATTATAATTAAGTATATTTATGTATATTTGTTTGTTTATTGTTGTTATTATGATTATTAGTATTGTTATTACTATATATAGTGTTGATGTGTACACAACTACATTAGCTATTGGGGAGCGAACTACTCAACACATGGGCAGCCCGGATTTTCTTTCTGAGTCCTCTGATTTGAAGAGGTTGCAACGAAGAATTGATGGACCGACCTTGTTTTCGTAGCAACGAAGAGGACCCCGCTTTTAGATGTGGCCAGTATTCGGCAGCAAGCAATTGGGTGTCCCAAATGCGTCCTGTTTTCTCGCCCCTGGCAATTGGCAATGGCTCTATATAGTTGGTGTTCATGGTGTCCTTGGGGATGGATAGCTGTGGACGAAAGCTCAAAGCGCCATGAATAGATCAGGACTAACACCTCCAAGAACAGTGACAAGAAATGACATGAACACATGCTTGGAGGCAACATTAGGCAACCTGTGTGGAGCAAAATTGAGGCCCTGGATTTGCTCGAGCTCCCCAGCTCCCGAGCTGTTTTTTTGCATGATTCATGACGTCAGTGAGTACTTTCATCAGATCTGGTGGGCTGATAGACGCGCTTGTGCATGGGACACAGGCTTTAGGCCTGTGCAGACTTACTTACGCGCTCTAACACACTTCATGATGGCCCCAGAATTTGCCAGCCTTTAGGCTACGCGTGGGCTGCGCATGCGTCCTGGCAGAGCATTTGATCCTGACGTATTGGCAGCTCTTTCTGGCCACAACCCAACAGTCAGGGTTCTGTGCTTGATGGACTAGTTCGAACTAAACCAGCCACCGAAGGCACCTTGGGATTTAAAACACGATGCAAACGGACAAGGGGATTCTCGTTTATTTGGGTGGAATGTGATTAGTGTATGATTATTATTGTACATTATTGTAGAATATTGCTAAGAAACGCCGGGCCCCTCTTCTTTTTCGGCCTGATTTCTCGTGGATTGAACAATATTGGGTCACATATTGGGTCGTCCACAGTGTGCCTAGACTCAGTCGTCCCAGTCGTCCCAATGGTTGCTGCTAGTAGCGTCCGATCGCTCCGTTCGTAGTACGGCCAGTTTCGCCCCGTTCGTAGCGTCCGATCGCTCTCACCGAGGTGTTCTTTGGTTGGAGCATCGAAGCAGCCAGCTCCATGTTTGGGGCAGCCTACTGGCGATGGTCAGGTTCCGCGGCCGACAGTCGGTGTCGGGGGACGTGTCGGCATGTGGTGGACGTGCCGAAAAAACGTACCGATCTTGACAGGGCTTGAACTCCGAACTTCAGGGTGTTTCACATGTTCTATCTTCACTTTTTGTCAGGCGCCATGTCTTCAAGTGTCCCCCAAAGTGTTTCAACCAAATTCAAGGAAGCTCCCCCGGCAGTTTCCTTGAAGAAGCGTCTTCGCTATCCTGTGTCCAGTAGGTAGTCGCCTCCGGAAGTAGCTAGGAGCGAACGGCGCCTGCTGCGGCGCGTTCGGAGCGCGACCTCCCTTAGGGCGGGCGCCTACTTCACGAAGTCAGGGCGGGTCAAACAGGTTAACAAGTCGGACGCACTGCATCGCACTGCATAGCACTGCCCTCGGGCTGTGAGGCGCTGTGGACTCGAGGGATATGGAGGATCTCACCGATGTGGGCCGTGCTCCTCGACCGAAAACCGGTTTTCGCCCGAGCGACTTCGTCTGTTGAGAAGCGATGAGAAGAGAGACGAGCAGATGAAGCCAGAAGACAAGAGTCCACCGTTGGATGAAGACGTGCCTGGCTTTCCAGCTGAGGTTCTGGGTTATGCTTATACCTTGTCCTACGAGTTCTTGGTTGCTGAGTTGGATTTCAGCATATTTTAACTTTTGTTAAGTTGAGAGGCAGTGGCATCCCAACACTTTCTTATAGTCTTAGTAAAGGGAAAAGCTTGCTAAAACTTGCAGTTACATGGTTCTTTCATGTCGTTTCTACGGTTCTTCTCGCGTAGAACGACCGACCAAACGACCTTCGCCGACCGGTACGCTACGTCTCGCCATGTCTTGGATGACGAGCGGTACCGCCGCGAGGTGTTGAACTTGCTCTTCGGGATTCTTTTTGGCTTGGTGTTCGAGACTCGATTCCTCTGGAAATACGTAGAGTGACGTTTTTTTAAACACAAATCTTTCTGAAGAGCGCTCAGTTTGGACTTATACTGGTATACTGACTTGGCTTTTTGATGCTTTTTGCTTGTTCTTGTGTGTGTTTGTCTTTGAATCAGCAGTCTCATTAACCTCCCAGATGGAACAAGAATGAGCAAGAATTGAGCTGTCGACACACATGTACCAAATTCTGCTCAGCTCTCCGTTGATTCCAATTGATCCTCCGAATCCGGTCAGTGAGCTCTCACTGAATCCAGGAAGCCTACGGGAGAACACGAGCTGAAGCCGGAAAGACGGACACCCTGCTGGCGCAGATTCGGAAGTCCATCACAGAGATGTGCCATGGCGATGGCGAAGGGGGCGAAGGGGGCGAGGACGACGGCTCTGGGACACAACGGCAGGTGGGGGGGAAGGCGGCAGTGCCGAACCCCCATGTCGACATCAACATCACGGTCGACCGGCGCGAGATGTTTGGAGCACAAACGATCAGCTTCACGTGGAGCACAAAAGACCTGCGAAGCGTTTGTGGGACATGGTTAACGATCCCTGAACTCCATTTGGACACCCGACGTGACCGCGTCACGTTTCCATGTTGGGCTTTCCCAGGCGTCGAAAGAAGGACTTTGTGAACGACTACTACATGATTTGTGCTTTGGAAGACGACGCTTGGTGGACCGACACCGACGCCATGGCGTCTCGCCAGCGAGCCCACACTATATGACCGTCTCGCGATCGGCCGAGGAAGATGCCCCGGCGCACCCGGGAGAAATTGTGACGATTCGAAGTTTGCTGGAAGCCTTCAGAAATAACAAGATGACCAAGGACTGTGACTGGTCATGTGGACTGGTCGTGTGTTCACGTCTATTTCATTCTATTTCGAATTCATGTGTTTTGTGTGAAATCTCCATATTGAAAACACACATATATATATATATATATACACGTGTTTTTGTTGCGTGCCATGGTGGTCGAGTTCGAGTTTCCGTTTTTTCAACATATATCGTACATGTCCATACCGGCATGTGTCGATCAACTGATGGCAGAAGAAAGGGTTCCGGCCCTCGGGCTGTGGTGACGGCTGTGGCTCCAGTCTAGTCTAGTGTGTAAGGCACAAAACACGAAACTTTGAGGGAGTTGCTTTCATATTCAAGGCTCAAACGACTAGAGCGTCATGCAGAAGATGTAGTTGCTTTCATATCTTTCATACTCCAAGCATAGTGAGAAGCATGGCAAGTTTACATACCACTTGAGTCCACTTGCTTTCCAGGAGAATGCAGTGGCTTGGATCAATCAATGGTCCGAGATAGGCCAATGCCACAGGTTCTGCCAGTGGATCTCTTCACTGCTTTTCTTTGGCATTTAGAACAAACATCCAGAGCACAGCGCCAGAGCACCGCTGAGGAATACATCATCAACCATGTGCGCGACTTTAAGATGAGCAAGTCGCACGAGGCACGTTGCACCCCTCCCCGTTGCACCAGTCACACTCTCTCTCCGTCTTCGGCTGCTTCCGAACGAAGCAGCCGCTGAACGAGAAAGAAGGACCCACAGCGACCAGACGAAGCTGTGGGCGACACGACATCGCGAGCTGCCCCGCCGAACCGAACTGACCCGCCGCGACACCGAACACACGACACGCAGGTTGAAGTTGGTTTGATGGATGCTTTAAAGCTGGTGGGGCGGATGCGAACTATCAGTTTGAAAAGCACCTTGCGCACCGAGTCACTCTTGAAACAGCCACTGGGTCAGATATGGGCCAACCAGGTAGGTCGGGTGGATCGGACTCCAGTCTCCAGCCTGTCGAATGCTGAAGTAAGTGGCCCAGACCGGGCCTAGCACGCACCGGGTGGTCCAAACGGAACGCTCCAGCGGATCAGTCTCATCGGCGAGTGGACTCTCGGTCGGAATCACCCGGGTGGGACGGTCCCAGCCGTCGGAGCCGGACGGCAAGCCGTTCAAGCTCGAGTCCTGTTGGTTTCGAGAGAAAAGAAGCTACTAGTAGCTCCTGGCATTGCTAGTAGTAGCAATTTAAGAAGCTACTAGTAACAAGTGCATCGCTACTATATATATATATATAGCGAGCCACCCCCTTAGCATTGTATATTAAGGGGGGGGTCCACAATGTATATACATTTAGCATTAAGTTTTATGCATTTTGCCATTGTCGGTTTCTCCCCGACATGCCCTTGCCACTCCGCCGCCATCGGCTCCAAACAGTGCTCTGGGCCCCGGCATGCGCCGGTGAGACACCTATCGAGTCGAAGAGGCGAGCGATCTGGGTGAGTGTGAGGAGGAGTGGATGGACCCCTGTCAATGGGATGGCCCATGATCCGGACCACATGGATCCACATGGGTTTGGGAGGGTCTCACACCAAATCTGTCAAGTATGTTGCTCCAAGTATGAGTCTTGGTTCTTGGTGTGGTGGACATTGGTGATCCACTTTTGGGATTCTTATCCACATGAGCCATTTTTGCTCGGGACTCTTCTCGACGCAAAGCTGAGACCTTTCCACTAAAAGGACTTGCACAAGCAGTCCACCAACCCAAGGCCATCACCAATGCCGGGACCCCGAAAGCTGCGGATAGCGTGACCACCATCCCAAGGATATCCAAGGATTTTTTATTGGAGGTGGTATGATCCTGCAAAGGTGTCAGGCCTGTGGGGTCAAAGGATTTTGGGGGCCCGACCCTGCTGCCACCATCCCGACCATCCCTTCCCCGGAATTCGAGGCGCTGCACTTTGTCGTCAGCGACTTGGGTCGCTTCCGCGTGAAGAGTTTTCGGGAGGTCGCGGGGAGCTGTGTGATTTGATGTAATTAATATATATATATATAATATTTGGTAGTCGATCAAAAGGTCGACATAAGTCCTATATCACTGAGAGCCTCTTCAAGTTGTTCGCGAAAGTTTTTTGGAGTTCGCGGAAGTAATTTTCTATTGGCGAAAGATTCGCGAAAGATCCTATTATACTCTATATATACATAAAGACCTCCTTCACTCAGGAGGAGAACAAAGTAGTGTTCAGCAACTACTGGGCGTTCAGCAACTAGGTTTCAGAAACTATTTTGTCGGTTTCAGCAACTGCTGCGGTTCAGCAACTGCGGTTCAGCAACTGGTTTTGTCGGTTTCAGCACCTGGCTTTGTCGGTTTCAGCAACTGGCTTGGTCGGTTTCAGCAACTGCTTGGTCGGTTTCAGCAACTGGGTTTTGTCGGTTTCAGCAACTGGGTTTTGTCGGTTTCAGCAACTGGGTCTGGTCGGTAACTTGCTTATGTCGGATTGAAGGGGGGGGGGGGGGGGGGGGGGGGGTAGGGGCAGTTGCTTACACAGGACATCAGCTGGTCTTTGTCGGTTTCAACAACTGGGCTTTGTCGGTTGCAGCAACTGGGTTCTGTCGGTTTCAGCAACTGGGTTTTGTCGGTTTCAGCAACTGGGTACCGATGAAATTTGAAGACGCGTTCGACGTGGCGGCATAAACAAAATGCAGTTGCGCTGGGTCGTGGACCGCTGCATGAATCGAAATGCAGACGTTTTTCCTTCTTCCCTGGTGATATATTATACAGGTATATGAATAAAGTCCTCATATTGATACCTTCCAAGATTCTTTCGCATAGTCTTCTATATACATATGTCCTCCTGGTCACCTCTACATATACGGTCCGCTCCATCCTCTTTTTTCGACAGAATCGAGAAGCAGAGCTGTTTGCAAGAAAGATGTTTTTGGAGCAGAGTGCCTGATCGTGTTTTTGGAGCAGAGTCGCAAAGAGAATTGTTTTTTGCCTGCGCAGAGGAAAGTTTCTTTGTCTCCAGGACTGTGAAATCCTTAAGCTTAACTTATTGTATTGTTTTTGGTGTTTTTGTTTGTTTGGTTGGTTGGTTGGTTGTTTCTTTGTTTGTGTTTGTTCGTTTGGTTTGCTTTGGTTGGTTTGTTTGGCTTGTTTTGTTTTTTGTGTGTTAGGTTGTTTTGTTTCGTTTGTGTTGGTTTGTTTTGTTGCTTTGTTTATTTATTGGTTGGTTGGTAGTTTAGTTGTTTATGTTTGTTCTTGTGGTTTGTTTTGGTTTGGTTTGGTTTGATTGTTTTTTGTTTGTTAGTTTGTTTTGTTTCCGTTGGATTGGTTTGGTTTGTTTTGTTGATGTTGTTTTTTGTTTTGTTGGTTGGTTGTCTCTTCGTTTGTGAGTTTGTTCGTTTGGTTTGGTTGGTTTGTTTGGTTTGTTTTGTTTTTTGTTTGTTAGGTTGGTTTGTTTCGTTTGGATTGGTTTGTTTTTGCTGTGTTTGCTTGTTTCTTTCATGGGTTTCTTCTTTGTTTGGGTGTTGGTTTGTTTGGTTGTGTTCGGATTGGCTTAGTTTGGTTTGATTGTTTTGTTGCGACTTTTCTTCTTTTTTGTTTGTTGTTTGCTTTGTTTCGTTTGGATTTGGTTGTTTAGTTTTGAATATTGTTTTTTGTTTGGTTTGGATTGGTTTGGTTTGTTTGTTTTTTTTGGTCTTGGCTAGCTGTTTGTTTGTTTTGACTGGTTGCGGTGCTTTGTTTTGTTTCTTTGTTGTTGCTGATGTGTTTGTTGTTGGTGTTGTTGTTGTTGGTTACTTTTACTACTATTGATTAAGCGTATTACAGCCTGTCAGGTGAGGGTCGTTAGATTTTAACAACCACAAACAACGTAACGCACAACAGCAAACCAAATCACAAACACGCAGTCACAAAATGTCACAAACGCAAATACAACCTCCAACCCAAACACCCAATCACAAACACACAGCTGCCAACACACAACCACAACGCACAACGCACAACCACAATCACAGCACACATCAACACACAACCCCAGGACCCACAAACAAAGTCGAGAACCACCAAACTCACGACCAGGGCAACATGCTGCTCCTCACAATGGCATGAAGACAAATGATTGAAATGTCATGGGCCCACAAACACACATTTATGGCACACAACCACAACACCCCACCACAACACCCCACCACAACACACAACCACAATCACAGCACGCATCAGGACACAACCCACCAACAAAGTCAAGAACCACGAAACTCCCGACCATGGCAACATGCTGCTCCTCACAATGGCGTGAAGACAAATGATTGAAATATCATGGGCCACAAACACACATTTATGGCACACAACCACACCACACACCA